CCCCCCCCCCCCAGGAGGAGTATTGTTACTGATCAGTTCTGTGCAGTCCTCACCGCCGCCTGATGAAGGAAGGACACGGCTGATGTCATTGTGACTAATGAACGGCTCAGGTTGAGTGTCTCTGATGTGCTGGTGACATTCTATATCTCTGGATGACGCCACCGACTGTTAAAGAGTACAACACTCAGTACTTGTAAAGAGCTGGAACCTGATGGAGTGCACCACCACCATCATCACCACCACCATCATTATCACCATCACCACCACCATTATCACCACCACCATTATCACCACCATCATCATCATCATCACCACCATCATTATCACCACCACCATCATTATCACCACCACCATCATTATCACCACCACCATTATCACCATCATCATCACCATCATCATCATCACCACCACCATCATCATCATCACCACCACCACCACCATTATTATCACCACCATTATTATCACCACCACCACCACCATTATTATCATCACCACCACCACAACCATCACCACCTCTCTCTCTCTTCTCCCAATAGATTGAAGAGTTACAGCGACAGCTGTCAGTGGAGAGGACGCGGGCGGATGAAGAGAAGCAGAAGCTGGTGAGTGATGGTCCTTCCTCTGCACCCCTAACTGACGTCGTCCATCTTCCGTCTCTCATACGGAGTTGCTGTGGATTCATAATATGTTGCACATACCTCATGTGTCCGGGCTACATACTCCATCTGTCCACCTGACTTCTCTTCCTGCCTTCCATTGTATCTCCATTTCTCAGCTTGTCAGCAGCCCATATGAGAGCTTCAGTGTAAGTGGCATCTGGAGGGCAGACACTCTTCCCCTTACCACCCTGACCGTGTGAAGTCTTTCCGTAGGCAGAGACATACAAGACGCAGATGTCCAGCCTGGAGGAGAAATGCGCTCAGAAAACTCAGCAAATGCAGATCATTCAGGCAGAGTTCAGGATGATGAAGGAGTTCCGCAGACGTAAAGCGGATTTGGAGAAGGAGCTGGACGAGGTGATATCGCATCCCATGTAAGTTGTCCTCCTGCCGTGTTACCTGCTGACACGGTCTCACACATACGTGTTCTGTCCACACAGATGAAGGAGAGCCTCTGATCAGTTCTGTGCAGTCCTCACCGCCGCCTGATGAAGGAAGGACACGGCTGATGTCATTGTGACTAATGAACGGCTCAGGTTGAGTGTCTCTGATGTGCTGGTGACATTCTATATCTCTGGATGACGCCACCGACTGTTAAAGAGTACAACACTCAGTACTTGTAAAGAGCTGGAACCTGATGGAGTGCACCACCACCATCATCACCACCACCATCATTATCACCATCACCACCACCATTATCACCACCACCATTATCACCACCATCATCATCATCATCACCACCATCATTATCACCACCACCATCATTATCACCACCACCATCATTATCACCACCACCATTATCACCATCATCATCACCATCATCATCATCACCACCACCATCATCATCATCACCACCACCACCACCATTATTATCACCACCATTATTATCACCACCACCACCACCATTATTATCATCACCACCACCACAACCATCACCACCTCTCTCTCTCTTCTCCCAATAGATTGAAGAGTTACAGCGACAGCTGTCAGTGGAGAGGACGCGGGCGGATGAAGAGAAGCAGAAGCTGGTGAGTGATGGTCCTTCCTCTGCACCCCTAACTGACGTCGTCCATCTTCCGTCTCTCATACGGAGTTGCTGTGGATTCATAATATGTTGCACATACCTCATGTGTCCGGGCTACATACTCCATCTGTCCACCTGACTTCTCTTCCTGCCTTCCATTGTATCTCCATTTCTCAGCTTGTCAGCAGCCCATATGAGAGCTTCAGTGTAAGTGGCATCTGGAGGGCAGACACTCTTCCCCTTACCACCCTGACCGTGTGAAGTCTTTCCGTAGGCAGAGACATACAAGACGCAGATGTCCAGCCTGGAGGAGAAATGCGCTCAGAAAACTCAGCAAATGCAGATCATTCAGGCAGAGTTCAGGATGATGAAGGAGTTCCGCAGACGTAAAGCGGATTTGGAGAAGGAGCTGGACGAGGTGATATCGCATCCCATGTAAGTTGTCCTCCTGCCGTGTTACCTGCTGACACGGTCTCACACATACGTGTTCTGTCCACACAGATGAAGGAGAGCCTGCGGATAGGTAGCCGGGAGCATAAAGAGTCGCTGGCGGCCATGGAGAGGCGCTTCTTTCAGGACAAGGTGAGGACCCTGCAATGGTGGCCTGATTATTAGTATGTCCTGCATGTCTCAGACGTGTCTACAACCTACAACCTGATTTATTAGTAACAATCCACAAATACACAATAATCGTGCCCTCAGATTTACAGAACCATGTTGTGTTTCTTCCCAGCAGAAGCTCCAACTTAACATCAGGAGAACTTACCTTGGCCGGGGCGGCGCGCATACAAATGAGGAACGCTTATCAATTAAACAACATGCGCACCAATTACCAATTCTCCAGTGAG